TAGATTTAATACAAGATAAAGCTGTTAATAATATTAGATATGTTTGCTTTCAAAATCCAAACCCAAACCACTACCATATTCTCTTTCTAATCTATAATGTGTTTACACATATGCTGGACATTTTTTTAAAAAACAAATTTCCCTATAGTTTATCCTTGCATTCTGCACGTAGGAAATGAACATAGGATATCATTTTTACTGGTTTGAAGGAGGTTTGTTTCTCTTAGTTTTCTGAAAAATCAGAGAATAGTTGTTATTAAATCCCATGATTTATTTCTTCCAGCCTTTTTATTGTCCCTTCAAGAATCAAGTGCTTGTACAATCATCTGTGATAATCTAAATACTGTTAGCATTTTTTCCTATCTGTTCATCCTGTTTTCAGAATTGTGCTGTGTCTTGAACTTTCCCCATCAAACAACTCTAGGCATCTTGTCAACAAAGAGGCAGCCCTTCTGATATATACACCTTGTTGTTGTTGTTAAGTGCCTACCCATAGCGACCCTGTATAGGGTTTGCAAGGAGCGACTGGTGAGCTTGAACCACTGACCTTGCAGTTCAAATGGCTTTGTAGTCTGGCACATTAACCCACAGCGCCACACTATACACCTACTCCTTACTTATTGACTGTCTTGTTATTCAGAATTTCAGATTTATGACAATAGTAGAAGACTTTCTGTCCAACTATTGTGTGCATTAGTGACACACATTGGGCAATAATGAATGGTGAGGTCCCTAATGAGGTCTCTGACTTGTGGATCCCATGTGCACATAGAAAAGGAAATTGTATTATAAAGTATTTTGAGTCCTGAGAAGGGAGGGGTGACGTGGTCTCCCTAATCTGCTAGGATTCTCGTGGAAGGTGGCTTTTGGGAAATGGGAGGACCCAAGTGCCTATAAGGGGATGAAGTGAGGCAATGATAGCCAGTTTCTTAAAACTTGGTAGCCATTCAGATGAGAGAGGAAGCAGAATATTGGGGTCTGGCAACAACTCATAGCCCTGATGGGTGAAAGGAATGGGCTGAGCTGTGGTCAGAAAGAGCCCCGAGAAGTGACACTTGGGTGCCCATGACACTCAGGTATCTAGAGCATACAGGATCACACATCAACTAATTGGACCTTTGTAGCCCTATTGTTGTTGTTACATGCCACAGGGTAGGTACCAATTTATAATATGCACAACAGAATGAAACACTACCTGGTTCTGTGCCAACCTTACATTCATTAGTTTAAAAAAAGGTCTTGCCTAATGCAATACCTCCTTTGATTTTTTGACTGCTGCTTCTGTGAGTGTTGATGAAATATTTGACAACTTCAATCTTTCTCATTTATCTTGATGTTTTTATTGGCATAGTTGTATTGAGGTGCAACCCATAACCAAGACATTGGTCTTTGATCTCCATCAATAAGTATTTTAAGTCTTCTTTGCTTTCAGCAAGCAAAGTTCTGTCATCTATATGTTACATTTGGCTAATCAGACTTTTTCCAACAATAATACCACATTTTACTTCATATAATCCAGCTTATCGAATTATGTGCTCAGCATTCAGACTGAATAAGTATGGTGAAAGAAAATAACCTTGGCACACATCTTTCCTTGTTTTCAGACATCCAATGTCCGCTTGTTGTGTTCATACAAATCACTTTCATTCTATGTACACATTCCTTATTACAATTGAGTGTCCTGAAATGCTGATTTTCTGCAGCGTTGTCCATAGCTTTTCATGATCTATCAAAAGCCTTTATAAAGTAAATAAAGCAAAAACATCTTTCTGACATTCTCAGCTATCAGCCAAGATCCATCTGATGTTAGTCATGTTATCCCACATTCCACATCCTTGTTTGAATCCAACCCCTGTCACGTCCCTGTCAATGTATTGTTGCAGCCATTCTTTGAATGATCTTTAGCAAAAATTTATTTCCCTGAGGTATTAATATTATTCAATCATTTCCACATTCTGTTGGATCACCTTTCTTTGGCGTAGACAAAAAATATGGATCTCTTCTGACCAGTTTGCCAGGTAGCTGACTTCCAAATTTCATGACATAGATGAGTGAGTACCTCAATGTCACATTGCTTTGTTGAACTATATAAATTTATATCCTATCAATTCCCATAGCAATGTTCTTTGCAAATGCCTTCAGTACACCTTGTACTATTTACTTCTGTACCATATGCTACCTATTGAAATGGCTGAACATTAACTATGTCTTTTTCTTACAGTGAGTCTGTGTATTCCTTCCATCTTCTTCCGATGCCTATGAATCATTCAATATTTTGCTCATTGTTGTTAATAGGTGCCATCAAGTTAGTAATGACTCCTAGTGACCCTATGCACAACAGAACAAAATGCTATCTGATCCTGTGCCAACCTCACAACCCCTGCTGTGCCTTAGTTCATTACTGCTATCACTGTGTGGATCCATCTCATTTTGAGTCTTGATGGACTTTTCTCACACCCTCCACTTTGCCAAACATGATATCATTTTCCAGTGGATGGTCCCTACTGATAATATGTCCTGATTCTTAGACATGAAGTCTGGCCTTCCTGGCTTCCAAGAAGCATTCAGGAACACATCTTTCAAAACAGATCTGTTTGTTTTATGTCATTCCATGGTACTTTCAATATTCTCCTCCAACACCATAACTCAAATGCAACAATTCTACAGTCTTCCTTATTACCTGTCTAAATGCACATCTTATGAAGTTATTGAAAATACCATAGCTTGGATCGCACGCACATAGTCCTCAAACTGACATCTTTGCTTTTCAACACTTTAAAGAGGTCATTTGCAACAGATTTGCCTAATGCGATACATAATTTGATTTTTAGACTGTTTTTTCAATGAGTGTTGATGGTTGATCTGACAAAATGAAGTCGTTGACAACTTCAATTTTTCCTCTTTTGGTCCAGTGGTGAGGATCTTTGTGTTCTTTCCATTGAGGTGCAACCCACACTGAAAGCTGTTGTCTTTGAGCTTCATCAGAAAGTATTTTAAGTCCTCTTTGCTTTCAGCAAGCAAGGTTGCATCATCTACATATCACAGGTTGTTAATGAAGAGTCTTCCTTCAATCTTGATGAAATGCTTTTCTTCATATAAACAAGCTTCTCAGATTGTTTGCTCAGCATACAGATTGAATAAGTATGGTGAAAGAATACAACCCTTGCACATACCTTTCCAAATTTTAAATCATTCGGTGTTCCCTTGTTCCTTTTGAACAACTGCCTGTTTATCTATGTACAGGTTTCTTATGAGCGCAATTACATGCTCTGGAACACTCATTTCATGCAGTGTTGCCCATAGCTTGTCATGAGCCACAGAATTGAAAGCCTACTATGATCCATACAGTTGAATGCCTTTGGCTAGTCAATAAAGCACAAGTAATCATCTTTCTGGAATTCTCTGCTTTTAGCCAAGATGTCAACAATGATATGCCTCATTCCACATCTTATTCTGAATCCCATTTGCATCTCCTGAAGTTCTCTATCAATATGTGGTTGATGCCATTTTTGTTTTATCTTTTGTAAGATATTACTTGCATTCAATATTAATGAAATTGTCTGATGGTTTCCACATTCCATTGGATCACCTCTCTTTGGAATTGGCACAAACATGGATCTCTTCCAGTTCCTTGGATAGGTAGTTGTCTTCCAAATTTCTTGGGATAGATTCTTTGAGTTCCTCCAGTGCTGCATCAGTTTGCTCTAAAATTTCAATTTTCATTCCCTCAAATCCCATTGCCTTGTTATTTGCCAAAGACTTTAATATATGTTGGACATCATTATCATTGGCTCTTGATCATGTGCTAGCTCTTGAAATGGTTGTACATCAAACATTTCTTTCAGGACAGTGACTCTGCATATTTCTTTTATCTTCTTTTGATGCTTTCTGCATCACTCAATATTTTGCCCACATTGTTCTTGTTGTTAAGTGTCGTTGAGTCAGTTCTGATCCATAGCAACTCTGTATGGGGTTTCCGAAAAGCGACTGGTAAGCTTGAACTGCTGTCCTTGCCATTCAAACCAACTCTGCAGTCCAAGGCATCAACCTATAGCACCATACCAGGACTCCATTTTGTCCATTTGTTGCTGTTGTTGTTAAGCGTTATTGAGTCGGTTCCTACCCATAGTGACCATGTATAGGGTTTCCAAGGAGCACCTGGTGAGTTGGAACCACCAACCTTGTGATTTAAACCCACCTTATAGTCCAGGCCATTAACCAATAGTGCCACACCAGGACTCCCCTTGTCTCATAGAATCCATCAATATTGCAAGTTAAGGCTTGAATTTTTTCTTCACTTCCCTCAGCTTGAAATATACTGTGTGTGTTCTTCCCTTTGGTTTTCTGTCTATAGGTTTTTGAACATTTTGTTATAAAATTTGACTTTGTCTTCTTGAACTGACTTTTGAAATTTTCTATTCAGCTCTTTTACCTCCTTATTTCTTTTATTTGCTTTAGTTTTTCTATGCTGGAGAGCAAATGTCAGCGTCTCTTCTGACATCCATTTTGGTCTTTTCCTTTTTCTTGTCTTCTTAATGGCCTTTTGATGCTTCATGTACGATGTTCTTGATGTTGCCATGCTGCTGCAAGCTATGCCGCCAGTATTTTAAATATAAGCAGCATCACACAATCATTCACAATTCTAATGCCATCGGGCAGTGTTGCAAGTCATAAGGTTTCAGTGGTTAAAAATTCTGAAGTACTCAGCTTCTCCTCTTCTAAGTCTGTCTTAGTTTGAAAGTTCAGCTGAAACCTGTCTACCATGGGTGATGCTGCTTATTTCGAAAATACTGGTAGAATAGCTTGGAGTATCATAGAAACATGTAAACCAACACAGAAATAAAAATTGACGGAAGATTGGTGTGAGACAAAAATAGAAATTAAAAATACACATTTAAAATTTAAAATGTATTTGCTTCATTCCCTTAGCCTGTTTGTGTTTTCTTCATTATAGCATGAAGTACAAAAAAAAAAAAAATTAACTTTTTGTTTCCCTCTAGATATTTCATCGACTATAAAGCAGAAGATGACAGATTTTTCAACATTGATGCCAATACTGGTACCATTAAAACGACAAATAGTCTTGATAGAGAAGAAACTCCATGGTATAACATCACAGTTTCTGCTTCCGAAAATGGTAAATTACTTTATGTAGCATTAAAAAATAGTCACTTGTTTATGAAAACTTAAGCTGCAATTTCCTTAATCTGTCACTATTATAAACTTTGTTGCTAGTGTCTAGCATAGTGAACCCAGAATAAGATATACAGTTACTCATTTTCTAATTCCATCTTCAGGTATTGTAACATTTCCCTTATTTTAATTCCTGCATATTGGTAGATAATTGTCACCACAGAACACTTAGTGACAGGCCAAAGACTACTAGGCTACCTGCCTACATAGTGAGCATATTTTGTCATATAACTATGCCTTACCCAAGTGTTCAGGAGTTGGAAGAGTATTTCATTATATGCAATAGTTTAAATGAAAAAGTGAAAATCTTTGTGTTAGGTGAATTTATTAAAACGACACCCACCACTTTTCAGATTTCAACTGTTGTTGATGTTAGGTGCCATCGAGTCAATACTGACTCATAGTGACACTATGCACAGCAGAAGAAAACGCTGTGCAGTCCTAGGCCAACCTCACAATCATTGCTATAGTTCAGCACATTGATGCTGCCAGTGTGTTAATCCATCTCCTGGAGATCTTCATTTTTTTTCTCCATTCCTCCACTTTACAAAACATGATATTCTTCTAGAGTGACTGGTTCCTCCTAACAATATGTCTGAATTATAAGAGATAAAGTCTGGTCATCCTGGCTTCCAAGGAGCACTCTGGCTGTACTTCTTCCAACACAGATTGGTTTATTCTTTTGTCACTTCATGGTACTTTCAATATTCTCCTCCAACACCGTAACTCAAATGCATCAATTCTTCTACTGTCTTCCTAATACACTAACCAACTTTCACATGCATATGAGATTATTGAAAATACTATGGTGTGGGTCAGGCACACCTTAGTTCTCAAACTGACATCTTTGTTCTTCAACACTTTAAAAAGGTCTTGTACAGCAGAATTGCCTACTGCAATACAATGTTTGATTTTTTGACTGCTGCTTCCATGAGTGTTGATGGTTGATCTGAGCAAAATGAAGTCTTTGAAAACATT